AACGGGACGGGACGGGACGAAACGGAACGGGATGGAACGGGATGAAACGGGACGGAAAGGAACGGGACGAAACGGGACGGAAAGGAACGGGACGGGACGGGACGGGACGGGACGGGACGGGACGGGATGGAACGGGATGAAACGGGACGGAAAGGAACGGGACGAAACGGGACGGAAAGTAACGGGACGAAACGGGACGGAAAGGAACGGGACAGGACGGGACGGGATGGGACAGGCCGGCAGGAGGACGGCCGGACGGGTCCCCGCTCGCCCTCCCGGAGCGGGCTCGGCCAGGCCGGCTCGCCGCGGCGGCCCCGGGCCCTGTCCCGGCGCAGCCCCGTTACCTGCCGGCAGCCGTCGGGCAGCGCCGCCGGAGCGCTCGGGGGCGGCGCGGCCGCGGGGGGTTCGGGCTCGGGGCCGGGGCCGGGGCTCGGTCCCGCTTCGGGGCTCGGTCCCGGCTGGGTGTCGCGGCGGTGCCCCCCGACGGGTGTTGCTGTTCCGGAGGCGGCGAGCGAGGCGAAGTTCAGCGTCTTGTTGTCGAAGGCATCCTCCACGCTGCAGAACATCCCGCCGCGCTTCTGCCGCGGCCGCGGGCTGCCCGCGCCCAGCCCCGCGAAGCAGGCGGGCAGAGCCGCCTCCGGCCGCCCCGCCATGGCCCGCACCCGCGCCGCCGCTGCGCTCCCTCGCCTCCCCGGGAGGAGAGCCCAGCGCCGCGTTAAGAGCCGCCCAAGGACCCCCGCCCCTCCCGGTGCCCATCCACCCGTGCCCGTCCCCGCGTACGACCGGGAGGTGACATCTCCCGGCGTCTGCGGTGGCAGAGACAGCGCGGGGTTGGCTGCCGCGGCCACCGGGTGAACGCCCCCCTCTCGAGCCCTCCCGGGCATCTCCCGGTCCCCCAGGGGGGCCGGTGCCACAGCCCAGCTTCCCCATCCCCTCAGCCCCAAGCCACTTCATCGGATTTGAAGGTTTAAAACAGATCTTTTTAATTAAAATTGACAATCATTTATGTATTTTACAAAGGAATAGAAAGTCTCTCAATATATATCATAGGAATCACAATACAAAAATATCTGTAAAATTCTCTAGTCGATCGCTCCCGCCCGTTTTCGGGCTGGCGGCTGCTGTCGCAGCACTGAACCCAACGTTCCGTATTTTGGATATGATTCTGGAGTAGGATTAGAGGACACGGGTCATGGCACGCCAGCCAGTGGACCTAAACCTCCATTTTCTCTGTTACGTTTTGCATAAGTTTACAATAGTCCCTTTTTATAAACTGTACAGCACATGATACAGGGTTTAATACACATATTCACACGGCGATTTCCTGAGTCGAAGCTAAATCTCTTCCTGTGCACGCTGCCGGCGAGGGGCGAGGGGCACAGCGGTGCGAAGGAGCCGGACTCGGTGCAGGGGCGTTTTCAACTCCTGGTCAGGAATTCTGTCCACAAGCCATGTAAGGCACTCAAGGAATCACTGAAGGCTACAGATATAGAGCAGAATACTGGAAAAAACAGCCACATCCTCCCCAGCTGGAACGAGAAATCTGCTCCTGTCGCACACACGGCGGCGGGTTTGGGGCAGAACCAGCCCTGCTCCGGGTTACCAAAAAACTCACACAGAGCCCAGCCCTGCTCCGGGCTACCAAAAAACTCCTTACACAGAGCCCAGCCTGGCCCTGGGCTACCAAAAAACTCCTCACAGAGCCCAACCCTGCTCTGGGCTACCAAAAAACTCACACAGAGCCTGGTGGGCCGCACGCAGGAGCGGAAGGAGCGGGATCCCTTCCCGGAGAGGGAGGCAGCACATGGCTGGCAATCTCCTGTCTGTGCATTTAAATGGAGGACACAGTTCTGAAAACATTCTTTGAGCTATTTTTTTCTTTCCTATGTACAAAACTTGATATATATTTATAGTGACATATAGGTAAGCAGAATCCCTTATTTACACACGGACCTGTCCTGTACAAGTGGCTTTGTACTTAAAACCCCCAGGATCAAGGACGTTAATCCGAGAACAGAAGCGGTGTTTGAGGCACACCAACACACCAGGCAAGAGCAGGTCCTGAATGCAGAGCCATGAGATGGACTCAAGCCACTTCCTAACGTGCCCTTTGTCACCTCAACCACCACTGCAGGGCTTCCAGGGAATACAGCACTTTAAGACATGAAGTATTTCAGTAGAACTCCAAATGAACCCAGTTTTAGGCAGAAGTAAAAATGCAGCTCATCCCAGAATCCCAGCACTGGTATTGGTAGAATCAGAGCTTGTTAAATCAATTCCATGATAGACTCACACGCTGATATCAAAATCCACAACCTCGGCCTTAAAACGTCACATCCCTTTGGTTCAAATACTGCACTTCTCTGACCAGCTCCCTTCCTTCTGTTTCTGCAGCCAAGCTCCCTGCGCTGGGTTAAAACGTGGTCGATGTACAAGTGCAGGAAGAGGTTGAAGAATTTCAGTATCAAAGGGTTTTCTCCATAGCTTTACAAACTCCAGTGGTGCAGGTACCTACAGGATAAAATAAACACAAGGTTTAACCACAGCTTTGGCCCTCTCCTCCGCATGGTATTTTTAATCCCAAAATCTACATTTACATTCCATAGGTTGTGCTGGGTTGCGTTAGGCAGCTCTCAGTTAAGTCTAAGTTGGAGTAGGCTTTGCCAGTTACTGTTTTTTTCCCTGAAAAAAAGAGATAATTTATAAAATATTAAAAGTACTGCTTTCTCCAGGCTTTGCCGCACATCAAATAATTAATTTCACCTAAAAGTTTTGGGTAACACTCAGAATATGGTGATGATTGTGACGAAAGATAAATTTAAAATTTGCCTCATCTGACAAACTCTTGAGAGGACGAGTTAATAACCACAGAGCCAAATTCCACCTCCCCAGGGGAGGAGAGGTGGCACAAAGGACGTGGTGCCCGTAGGTGGGAGGGGGCTGCTGCAGCTGCCCTGACCCTTCCCGTGCCCCCTCCTTGTGCTGTGTCCTGTTCCCATTTCACACCCAGCCACGAGAGCAGCGCCAGCCGGACAGGGATACTGGGAAACACACGTGGGAAGCAGAAGAGCCCAGCCAATGGCTAGAAAGGAGAGAATCCCCCATTCCCTGTCCCTTCTCCATCCCCTGTTCCCTGTCCCTTCTCCATCCCCCATTCTCAGCTCAGGGACTGCTCAGCAGGGACAGTTCAGTGGGATCAGTTCAGCAGGGACAGCTCAGTGACAGTTCAGGGACAGCTCAGGGACAGTTCAGGGACAGCTCAGGAACAGCTCAGCAGGGACAGATCAGGGACAGCTCAGGGACAGCTCAGGGTCAGGTCAGTGGGATCAGTTCAGCAGGGACAGGTCATGGACAGGTCAGGGACAGTTCAGGGACAGCTCAGGGATGGTAAAGGGACAGGTCAGGGACAGCTCAGTGACAGTTCAGTGGGATCAGTTCAGCAGGGACAGGTCAGGGACAGGTCAGGGACAGCTCAGGGATGGTTCAGGGGCAGGGCAGGGACAGCTCAGGGACAGCTCAGCAGGGACAGGTCAGGCACAGCTCAGAGGGATCAGCTCAGCCGGGCAGTGCCCGGTCAGCCGGGCAGGCGGAGCTGAGGCAGGAAATGCGGGCTGGCACCTCGGCCTCCCCCACCTGCCCCGGGAAAGACACCGGGGGACCCAGCCCTGATGACACCTGCAGGAGCGCGGGGCTCTGGGTGACACTGCTCCATGCCCTGGCACATCCTGCTGGCACATCCTGCTGGCACATCCTGCACCACCACCGTGGCTCTGGGCAGCAGCCTCAGAGAGCCCTCCCGGAGCTGGCGTTCCATCAACTCACAGCCCTTAGAATCCTCCCCGCATTTAAGACAGCGAGAAACGTGGCTTTAAGTGACAATGTCAGTATTTCACAGTCCCCTTCCAGGACCCTCTCGGTGCTGTGACAGCAGTGCCAATCCCGACCCTGCACCCCCCTTTGCTGTGTCCCGGGGCACTCACAGCATCCTTGTGGTGCCAATCCCGACTCTGCACCCCCGTTTGCTGTGTCCCGGGCTGCTCACAGCATCCTTGTTTGTAAGGAGGAGCAAAGTGCCCCGGGGCTGTTCTCTGCAGGAAAAACCATGGACAGAGCAGCGTCTGCCCGCCTGCCTCTGCCGATCTGCATGAGGCCTCCACAGCCTTAGTGACTTGGACACGTTCTCCTTTCCCGGGGAGCTTTCTCTGGGATTTCTGCTGCCCTGGAAGTGCAGACATCACTGGGCACCCCAACGCCTCCACGACAGGCTGTTTGCACAAACATCATTTACAAACAGAATGCATTCTGTTAAAAAAAAATAACTTTATGCTATATTTTCCAGATGAATAGTTCTTCAGGCTAACGATGAGTTTGGTAAACTACAAAAATCAGTACCCTTATTATTATTTGCAAGAGCTCAGCAAGACCCAAATGAAGGGGGAGAGCCCTTCAGCTGTGATGACAATTGAAGCTGCTCTGCCCAGCAGTGCTTTGGGGAAGGAAAGCTGAAATGAATGATTATCTTTAAAACCAGCTTGGTGAAGCAGGCTTTTACCCTGCCAGTCTGTACAGCTAGGAGTTTTCTTTGAGAGCAAGTTCAGGAGGGAAGGCACTGGGGTTTTGAGGGGGAAGCACCCAGGACACGAAATTGCTCCTGCTGCACAAATTCACACTCCAAAAAGCTCTTCTCTACTTCCCACAGAAAGAGGAACATGGAAATGATTCAAGGGGAGACTGGATGGGGCTTGGAGCAGGCTGAGGTAGTGGGAGGTGTCCTTGCCCATCCAGAGATGACCTTGCAAGTCCCTCCCAGCCCAAACCATTCTGGGGCTCTGTGCTGTGTGTGCCCCCCTACAGCCACGCAGGAGTGGGAGGTTTTAGTTCTAGAGAGAATGAATGAAAGGCTGGTGCCCGTCCTGCCCTCGGAACATGCTGGGAAGCAGAACCCAAAGTTCCTGCTGTAATAAAGCAGATGTTCTGCTTAGAAGGAAAGTCCCAGCTGGTCTGTGTGGAATGTTTTCCCGTGGGATTTGGCAGAACCATGGAGGAGCAGCCTCTGCAAGCAGAGATGTCTGGGATGAGCAGTGGATGAGGAGCTCCCAGCCATGCCCAGACCTGGCTGGAGCCTCCTGCAGCACCAGCCACGCTCTCCTGCCCCAGGGCCTCCATCTCCTCCGCCTCAGCCCCAAATTCAGACTGACATTGTCATTTCTGTGCATTTCAGTCTGCAGCAGCCCCCGGGACAGCGGAGCAGAAACGCCGTGCAAGGAGACACCCCCTGCTTTTACACAAACTGACAGCTGCTAACCACTGGAAATCTCTTCTTCACTGCTGAGCAGCCCTGCCCTCCCCGAGAGAGAACCCACGAGGTTTACAGCACAAAAAGGAAAAACAGCTTCTGAGTCAACGCCTCCGTGCCTGCCCAGGAAGGCTTTGCTCAGTGGGGTCTCCTTGGCAGCCTGAACTTCCCCACACTTCATTCAGACACGGGTGTGGGGTCACCCTGCACGCAGGCTCGCCCGCTGGCATTCTGAGGTGGGGCTGGTGGTGCCCTGGGGAGGAATTCATTTCCAGAGGGGCTGGTGGTGCTCCGGGAAGGAATTCATTTCCAGAGGGGCTGGTGGTGCCCTGGGGAGGAATTCATTTCCAGAGGGGCTGGGCACACACAGGGCTGCCAGCTCCAGCTCCAGCAGCTCCCCACTCCCCTGCCAATCCCTCTGAAAGGAAAGAAAACCCCAAAACCCCAACACCCCTGCTCTGCTGCCAGTGGGACTACAGAACAATTTCCCTGCTGCTCAACTGACCAGAGTGCAAAGTCATGTAAAGAACAGGAATTATCTACAAAACAGAGAGGCTCGCAGGGACAGGTCCTGCTCTGGTGGTGAAGGAGGTTCCTCTCGGGAAATGTCCCCATCTGTGGTTAAATAAAACCATCCTGAAACTGGTATTTCTGAAACTGGTATTTCTAATTGCTGCCTACAGTAGGAAATACATTATGTATTCTTAATTAAAAATATTAAAGGCCATCTCTAAAGAGAATTGACACAGTTGTAAGAAATACAAGGGTTAGAGGAGGATCTGAAAATAGGTGGGCCCACCGTGAACCTAAAACTGGCTTGCTGCTGGTGACCATTGCTGGCATTTTGGGGGAGAGGATCTCCCCATGGCCCCAGGGCAGGCTCAGCTCCACAGACACCACTTAAACACAGCAAGCTGCTTTTAGAATCCTGGATACAGACTGGCTGGGGCAGGAAGGGACTGCAGAGATCATGTAGCTCCAGCCCTCTGCCATGGTGCATTCCCCATCCTTCTATCACTGGAAAATTGAAAACAATAATTAATATTACTTGTTCCAGCACATTCCATGTGTTGTTTCCTTTGAATGAACAAATATCAAGTGGAGCTATAATAAATGCTGGGGGGTTTGATTAAATTAAGATAATCAGAGCAAAAATACGGACACTCAAGCCTCTTCTACAAATGTAAGAGTTAATATTGAATAACAATTTATCTTAGGTAACTGACAACTTATTTATCTGGACACAGGCAAGTGCTACCCATCCCTGTGAGCCTCCAGTCTCCAAAGCTAAAGAGACACTAAAAAATAACTCCAATACCATTCAAAGTTAGAGAGACACTAAAAAATAACTCCAATATCATCCAAAGTTAAAGAGGCACTAAAAAATAACTCCAATACCATCCAAAGTTAAAGAGGCACTAAAAAATAACTCCAATACTACCCTAGACCTGCTTCAGAGAATCAAATGGGCTGTGAAGCAGAATTCTGCTCCTGCAGGGCACACAGCTCCCAGCTCCCTCTGGCTGCAGTGCCCTGCACTGGGTGCCCGCTGATGGGGTCTCTGCTGAGGGGCACCCCCGTGCCCACCACCCCTGCCTGGGCACTGCCCACAGGAGAACTTCATCTCATAGGCAATTACAGTTTGATGCCTAATTAAAACATAAATTTGGCAAATAATGTGTTATTTGGTACAAAGTGTTATTTGGTAAATAACTCTTCCATTAAATCTGTGCAACTGCAGCTTTCTCTGCTGCTCTCCCCATCATGTTTATCTGCCAAGTAACTCCTTATCAGCACAAATTTGAAAAAAAAGTGAGGGAAATTGTGAATTAAAATACTTTTCCAATTACTATTTGTCTTTTCTATGCAAAATGAAAAATATTTTCATCTCCTGCATTTAAAACATGTCTTTTTAAGGGGTTTCCAGGTGGTCAGCCCATCTTACCTGCCCAGAGCTCTGATCCCTTCCTGCCCGTGCTCCCAGGGAATGGGCACCATGGGACCCTGGCTGCCAGCAGGACCTCGCTCCTGGCCTTGGTCCTCATCCCTGGTCTTGTTCCTCATCCCTGGTCTTGTTCCTCATCCCTGGTCTTGTTTCTCATCCCTGGTCTTGTTTCTCATCCCTGGTCTTGGTCCTCATCCCTGGTCTTGGTCCTGGCCTTGTTCCTCTTCCCTGGCTTTGCCTCTCAGCCCTGCATTTCTGTGCTTGGCTGTGGATGCAATGTGGTCAGTCACACTCTGGAATTTCTTCTGGATTTGCCCCTCTTCACCCGTGTTTCTGGAGGAGTCTTTTCCCTTGCGGGCTCGGCTCTGTGGGACTTGTGCTCCCTTTCCCCAAGGTGAGGGCATCTTCCAGGTGCCACCTTCTGCTCCCTCTTGCTGCTCTCCCAGTCCCCTGCATGTGGATCAGGCATCATCTGGTTTACTTCACTCTTTTCCAGGTTGAACGTTTTGCTGGGACAGTGTTAAGCCTTTGTGTCATTGTTCAGGGACAGCCAATTACAAATGATTGCATAATTTTTCTCATCATGGTTTACTGACAACTCAAAAAAAGAAATTACAGCTTGATTTCCTGAATGTAGTTTTATGCTTTTCCTAAAACAGGGCTTGTGGGATATTCAACAAAGCACAGGACACACCCTGCGCAACGAAGAAATACCTTGGAACAAACCCCTTCATTTTCACTCCCATCCATCTTTTCACGAGCTACTCCTCTGGAACGCTTCCTAAAATCCTCTTTGGAGACAGAATTTGCAGAACTGTGGAACGAGCACGATGTGTGGCACAGGAACAGGACACGGGCACTTCTAGAGAAGAGATTTGCTGGGCAGGGAACCAGGACCAACCCAGAGTGTCCGAATCAGTGAGGAGCTGCAGGCAGAGCTGGGCTGCAGCAGGGCAGGAGCAGCTTCTGCCTTTCTGTCACTCAGTCCTGTCCTGCAAAGGCTCCTCAGGGCTGCAGCAGGGCAGCAGCAGAGCTTTGCTCTCTCTCTCAGTCCTGTCCCCTCCGAAGGCTCCTCGGGGCTCTCGGGACAGCAGCAGAGCTTTGCTCTCTCTCTGATGCTCAGTTCTGTCCCCTCCAAAGGCTTCTTTGGGCTCTCAGGGCTGCAGCAGGACAGCAGCAGCTTTTCTCTCTCTCTCTCTCAGTTCTGTCCCCTCCAAAGGCTCCTCGGGGCTCTCGGGACCCCCTCCCAGCCTGGCTCAGCCCCGCTGGAGGTGCCCCATGCCCCTGCCATGGCCAGCAGCAGGGAGCCGGGCAGACCCGGGGCTGGGGAGGGCAAAGTCTCTGCCAGGGGCTCGGGGAGCAGGGCTGTCCCTCCGGCAAGGACAGCAGGAGCAGCTGCAGCGGCCTCAGGGGGCTGAAACACGAGAGGAAAACAGCAATCAAAGGAAAGCCCACCCGGGCAAGAAGAGTGTTCACAAAACTTCTCTTTACAATGATCTGCTGAACTGTACAACGGATAAAAAAGGATTTGTGACAGATTCCATTTATGCTGTTAGTGGGGAGTGTTTCCCTCCATGCCATCCCTGCTGTGGTCATTTCTGGCAGCACACACAGACAGCACACACACAATTCATCCACTTTTTGCATGGAAAAGGGGGATTCAGGGAGTCCCTGGGCACAATGCCTGGAGGAACAGACCCCACTAAATGCTGTGCTGGCCCAAACCCACCTGGCTGCTGTCCTGGAGGCAGGACAGGCTCTCTGGCTGGGCAGGGACAGGGCTGAGGGTTTCCATGGACTCCAGCACAGAGCAGCTGGAGCTGCCCCCGAGGCACCAGAGAAGTCACCCCAGGCTGGGGGTCTCCCTGGCTTGCCAGAGGTTTCCTTGCTTTTAAGCCTGCCTAATTTTTCCTTGTCCTTCCCTCTAAAGAACGAAATTCTGTTTGACAAGTTTCTGCCTGCTGTTTTTTAAAGGATTTGGAGATTTCCATTTTTGGGTTCTCTGGCATGCCCAAGAGACCCTTCAGTCCTGCTGACACAGCAAAAGGAACGCTCTTTTCTCTATGGGAAAACAGAGATGCTCCAGGAGGAGAAGAGGAGAGAGCAGAGGAAACCCGAGGGCTTACCTTGTGCATGTGGCCTGAAGGACTATGACCAAAGAATGAAAGCTAAAGAGAAAAATAAAAACAAAAATAAAAACTGAAAAGGGGAGAGAAGAGAGGAAAAAACGGAAGAGAAGAAAGAGATTAAGAGTTGACAGTGTGTTTGACTGAGAAACAAGCTGTGGTTACAGACAGAGCACAACAAAACCCTCACGTGAGCAGGAATATGGAGTGTGAAGTCGGGGTGCTCGGGGCTCAGCTGGGCTCACGAGAGCGCCCGTGTCCCCTGGGCTGGTGACAGCAGCCCCCTGCCCTGTGAGCCCAGCCAGGCACAGCCACGGGCTGGGGGACAGGGAGCATCAGCTGAGCTCCTCTGCACCCCCAGCACCCCGAGCCCCTGCTGAGCTCGGGGCTCCGTCTCGGGTGCTGGCCCTGCCGTGCCTGAGCCTGGCCACCCCTGGAGGCTCAGTGGATGGGGAGGCTCAGCTGAGGCCGTTCTGGGGTAGAACACAGCAGTTCTGGGTGGCTGCAGAGCGCTCCGTGACAAGAGCCGTGGGCAGGCGAGGGAGGAGAGCAAAGCCCCTTGCTCCTGCTGGGAAAGCTGCTCCATGCTCTGCCTTTCCAGGGGCTGGGACAGGGGGGAAGCAGGGAGAACAGCCCCTTCCCAGAGCTCTGCTGCCTGAGCCCTCGGCTCTGCCCCTTCCAGGGCCGTGGCCCCATCCCTGCCCAGTTTCAGGCTGCCCCGAAGGGCAGAGGGCAGGAAGGACTCAGCTCAAGCAGTTCACCCCCTCCTCAGAGGGACTGGAGCAAATGCAGCTGTTTTCCTGGAGCTGTCCCCCTCTCTCACAGCACTACACACACGAGCTCTCTCTAAGGAGGTTTCCTCGGCCCAGGTGAAATGGAGAATGGTCATGTGCACACACAGCAGCTGTTCCATCTGCATGACCTTACCTTTTCCTCTAACTCTTTTATTTGTCTTTTTTGGCCTTCAATTCTTTCTTCTAGCTCTTTAATTCTCTGTCAGATTTCAAATAAAAAAATATTTATTAACCAACCAAATACAGATGTACCCGGAAGATGCATTAGTTTGGGGGATAGAAATTGTATGTGCTGTGCTCTACCAAAACTGAATTGGTGTTAGGCTGCGGGCCAGTGCTCAGTGATGGTCACCGTGTGTGACAAGGCCAGGGACAGCACGCTGCCCTGTGTGCAGGGTCATCCAGGGCCTGGCCAGCTCGGGACAGCCCCCAGGGCCGCCCCTCGTCCCTCCCGAGTGCCCTGGCCCACACCCACCTGCTGGGCGTGCTGGATGAGCTCCATCCTTTCCCGCAGGATTTGGGCGTCCCTCTCCCGCAGCTCGCTCATCACCTGCCGCTTCCACTGCTCCACGGCGCCCTTCAGCTTCTCCTTCTCCTCTTCTGAAAGAAGTTCGGAAATTTTGGCTCCAGCTTCTTGCTGCAGGGCATCATAGAGCATGGCTTCTAATTCCAGAATTTGCTAATCAAAAACAATATAAAGCTGTCAGCTGGACCTTGTCCCTGGTGGGGTGAGGAGGTCGTGAGGAGCGGGACATCCGACCCTGAAAGGCAACGGGAGCGGTGGAGGGGCTGCGTGCTGAGCCCCCCAGGAAAACTCATCCAGGGCAAACGCTCCAGGCTGCTCCATCCTGAGGGGCTGCCAGCAGCACTGGAGCTGGGACAGCCCCTGCCCAGCCCGGGCTGCCCCACAGACACGGGGGAGCCAGCTGCTCCTCCCTGGGGATGGGAGATGGCCGTGGGGAGAGGAGGAGAAGGGAAATGTAAAAGAGGGGGAAAGGAAGAAGGGAAAATGTAAACAGGAAAAGGGCAGAAGGAAAGAGGTTCATAACAGACTCACTTTGTGAGTTACAGATATTTTTTCCATGTGTTTTCAGTCCCTCGGTTCCCCCTTCCCAGCTCTCTGCTCCCAGCAGAGGACACAGCAGCACCAGCCCATGCTCCTGCCAGAAGGAACAACTCCCTGCCGAGTGTGTGCAGCATTTTGTGCCAGCCAGGGGAAAATGCCTCCTGGGAAGGCATTCCCAGCCCTTCCTTGGCAGAGCTGTCAGCTCCAGCAGGGTTTGTGCCCAAGGAAAGGACCTGTCCTGCAGCTGGGCTCTGCCCCTGCCCCTGCCAGGCAGACAGACAGACTCTGCAGGCACTGGGGTGGAGAAGGGCAGGAGAGGGACTGGCCACGCTTCCCTGGGGCACTGAGGCTCCTGGGGCAGCTGCTGCTGGCAGGCAGGGTCTGCTGCCCTGGAATCCAGCATCAAGGCTCCCCCAGGCAAGCCAAGAGCGAGCTGAAAGCTATTCCAGCAAGTTTGATCGGAGCAGGAGAAGAGGCAGCAGCTGGTGGCACCTCTGCACACCCCTGCACAGCTGGTGGCACCTTGAAGAGCATCCATGGCCACAAGAGAACCCCACTGCAACAGAATCATGGAATTGTTGAGGCTGGAAAAGTCCTCAGAGTCCCCCGGTGCAACTGTCCCCCAGCACTGCCAAGGCCACCAAGTCCCCACATCCACAGGGCTTTCAAATCCCTGCTGGGTCTGTGGTGATAATTCAGCTCAGCTCAAAATCACAATTTCCAGCTGAGCTGCTGCTGGTGTCTGCCTGGGTCTCAGCAGAGCCAGGAGAGCAGAACGCTGCCAGCAGAGCAGTGGCACCATGGCAGGGGCTGTGGTATGGCTGGAAACGGCTGGAAACAGCTGGAAGTGGCTGGGAATGGCTGGAAGTGACTGGAAACCAGGAATCTCCATGAGGAAGAACATATCAGATCTCAGGAGAAGGTTCTGCTTTTCCTCTCCAACAACACCAACACCTTGCTGACCTTGTCCCAGTGAAATGCTGCTGTTGGATCCCAGGATCTGTGCTGGGCCCCAGCCCCACAAAGCCCCAGCCCCGTGTGGAGGTGCTGACCTGGCAGAGAGGGGCAGGGGGACCCCCCAGCCCCCAGAGCAGAGCAGGGTCAGCCAAGCACCCCCTGGAGCAGAGCCCTGCAGCAGCCAGGCTCGGAGGCTTTGCCTGCTAATCCTGCTGGCTCTGCCTCAGGGGATCGTGGTCAGCTGCTCCTCATCTCCGGGGGCACAAAGGAAACATGGAAGTGAAGCAAATTTTATAAAGCAAAAGAGCTTTTCCCACTCAAATTCCAGGGCAGAGCAAAGCTTCCTTTGCTGCTCTCAGGCTGCATTTGTGCCCTGGATCAAAGCTGAGCCTAGGACACGCGTGTGCAGCCTTCAGAAAATCCAGGAAAATGCAAATAACCCTCAGCCCCCTCTGCATGGGCTGCTCACTCCTTGCACTCACTGCTCCCATCAGCAGGCTCAGCCTTCAGCTGCACAGACTGCTCAGGACAGAAGATGAGGAACCACGGAGTCCCAGACTGGGGCCTTAAAGAACAAATTGTTCCATCCCCTGCCATGGGCAGGAAATTCCACTGCAAGGTGTTCTGGGGCTGGGAGCACAGCTGAGGGGGCTCGTGTGCTTTCCAAGGTTTCCACTGTGCATTGCCTCCAGATACAGCTCAGCATGTGGCAAAATTAGTCCTAAAAATCACCCAGAGGACAGAAAATGTATGGAGCAAAAGCTCCCCCAAATGGTTCAAGACACAAGTAGCCAACAGGAGGCAGAAACAGAGGCATAAACACTCCCTGCTCCTCAGAAAGTGTAACTGTGCTCTAGGTTTATGTAGAACTGGAAAAATGAGATAAACGGAGAGGAAACTTTACGCCTTTTGTGGATATATATAGAACCTTTCTCTCACTGATAGAAACAAGACAGCTGATGACTGAAAAGATGGGTGAAATGCCTTAGGATCAGCTAATGATGGACCTGACCTAAAAGCAGTTTAATTTCAAATTTACACAGCCCAGAATACCTCCGGCTGCTCTGGGCACAGAGGGTGTAATCCAAAATCCAAGGAAAGGTGCAGGGTTAAATATCCTTTTTTAAAATGTAAGACAAATTACTGAAAACCCAATTTCCTTATCAGTCCTTTACTGAAGCTTTGGCTGAATTAAAGCTGGTGTTGAGTAGGTTAATGTTCAGGGGCTAACCACTCAAACCCAGGAATTCTGGGCACGAGGAAGCCCTGGTTAGCCCAGGGTGCAGAGGATTTCTGAACTCAGGTCCCGTGCAGCCCTCGGGCACTGCACAGCAGCACTGCCCGAGGGCAGCCTGCCCAGGGGGCAGAGCAGTGGGCAGTGAGCTGGCCCAGGTGTCCCAACCTGCCACCTCTGACAACGCTCACCTTGTGAGCCTGGTCCAGGGACTGCTTCCTGAAGTCCAGCTCCTCGTCCAGGTAGCCCTTCTGCTTGCTGAACAGCTCCTGGGGAGAGAGGCAGGCTGTGAGAGAGCAGCACGGCCCCGGCCACGTCCCCCCGGCCACGTCCCCCAGCCACGTCCCCCCGGCCACGTCCCCCAGCCACGTCCCCCCGGCCACGTTCCCCGGCCACGTCCCCCAGCCACGTCCCCCGGCCACATCCCCCCGGCCATGTCCCCACGGCCACGTCCCCACGGCCACGTCCCCCAGCCACGTCCCCCCGGCCCTCCCGGTACCTTCTCGTTCTCCAGGTCCAGCATCTTCTGCTGCAGCGCCGACTCAGTCACCTCGATCTGCTGGAGCCACTGAGGAGCAGAGCAGAGCAGAGGCAGCTGAGCAGGGCTCGTGCCAGCAGGCAGCTCCTGCTCAGAGGGCAGAGCACGTCAGCTGCACTGCTGCTCTCCCTGCAGAGTTGCATTTCACCGCTGCTCTCCCTGCAAGCTGCATTTCACCGCTGCTCTCCCTGCAGAGCTGCATTTCCACCCTGGCCCTGCCCTCTGAGCTCAGCCACACACTCAGTGAAGCTCTGGCTGCACAAAGCCTCTGCGTGGGGCTGGCAGCTCCCTCCGAGCTGTGCCAGAGGGCTGGGTGCTGTCAAACACAGAGCAGGCGAGCTGCCCCGCCATCCTCACCTTCTCTGCCAGCGTCAGGACGGTCCTGGCCTGGATGATGACCACCTGCTCCTCGTTGGTCAGATTCTGCACCAAAAGCAGAGCACAATTACAACAAACCCCAGTGTCTCCCTACTAACCCACCACCCAGGCCACTGCTGCTTCAAACACATCTGGAATTAAACATGGCTGAGGAACAATAAACTGAGGCAGAGAAAATTAATATTGCAATGCAAAATCATTGTGAAAGGCATTGTCACTATTCATTTCCAGTCCTTGTCATACACAATTCTTCCAAAATTCTCATATTTACTGACAAGAAAAGGGACGCTGGATCTATTTGTACCCAACAGGGATAAACACACGTTGACGCAGGACAAGATCAAGCTGAGCACAAAGAGCCCTGGGGAGAAGAGATGAAGTGCTCACCCCATGCACCATCCTCACTTTGTGCATCCAAGGGATGATTTTGGGAAGCATTTATGGAGATGTTTGCTGTCCCATCATCTTCTGACGCTTTCTCAAAAAAATAAAAGTACTGGAGCTAGGCTTTGCATTTCATCCCTGGTTTGGGTGGGAAGGACCCCAAATCCCACCCAGTGCCCCCCTGCCATGGCAGGGACACCTCCCACTGTCCCAGCTGCTCCAGCCCCAGTGTCCAGCCTGACCTTGGGCACTGCCAGGGATCCAGGGGCTGCACTGGGCACCTGTGCCAGGGCTGCCCACCCTCAGGTATTTATAGTTCTGGTACTTCCAGGCTGTGCCATGGTCCTGGGGATGGTGTTTTGCTGCTGTCCAACCTGTCCAGAGGGAGAGCTGGGGCAGCCCAGGTGTGAGAACAGCCCCAGTGCTGGGGTGGGCTCTGCCAGGAGGGCTCTGTGAGACCCCAGGCTGGAGAGGGGCTCTGCTCTCCTTGGCTCCTCACTGCCCTGGGGCTCTGCTGAGAGAGGAGAGCAGGGGGAGACCCACAGGACGTATGTGCCTTCCATGTGCATGGCCAAGTGCAGTTATTCACCGCCACATGCTGAAGAAGCACTCACAGGTTTCATGTCTGCTTCTCCTTTTCATGGTGCTGTTTTCACTTCTTGTTTAATATCCCGGTTAGTATCAAGGGTTAATGGGTTATTAGCAAACTCAGAGCACACAACTGCTGAAATGCAAAAGCAAAGCAAATGCAGAGCAAGCAAATCAAGAAACTGTGTGTGACCAGTGGGCAGAAAGCTCCAAACAGCAGCATCGCTCTCCGAGTCACAGGGATCTCAAAGCAATGTGGTGACCCCCACGCTTCACTCTTCAGGCAGCAGCAAAACCTTGAAATGCCAGCAAATGCTTTGCTCGTAGCCCGAGCAGAGGCAGCACAGGCTGTGCAGCACCAAACCAGGCAGCTTTGCTCACTCCACACGAGGACAGCTATTCCCCAAAGCATGCACAATTTATTAAAGGAACATACACTTACGGCGTTATCCCCTAAAATGTCCAACTTTTTCATCAGCTCTGCTACTACAATGTCCTGACAAAGAGAAATGGAGAAGCAGGAGTCAGCACAGGGCAGCTGGCCTTGCTGAGGAAGAGGAGCACAGGAAAGGAGCATCCCTTACTGTTACACCTTCAGCCTCGCAGTACACCTGCAGAGGGCTCTTCCCCTCCGTGAAGGGGCCGTGGTGGAAGGTGATGGCCGGGGAGCGTCTCTCTCTCTCCTGGAAGGACAGCAAGCCTTGGTTACCCGGGCGTGGCCCAGCACAGCATCGTGGGGTGGTCTGCCTTGGAGGGCCCTAAGAGCTCATCTCAGCCTTTCCACATCTCGGGGCTCAGAGGGGTCAGGGTGACCCTGAGATCATAAAGAGTCTCTGCTCCCCCAGCCCGACACAGCCAAAGGAGCCTGGAATGCGTCTGGTTGTGTTTTCAAGGTTATTTCTCCTTATCTGAACATTCTTTCTCTGACCGAGCCCTGCCTAGCAAGGAGCAATGGCATTCTGCCCTGAGCCTTGGGCAGCTCCCACATTATAGACTCAAAACCACGTGTGGATGTTTGCAATTTATTATCAATTCCCATCATCTAGGTTAGACTGTGAATCTCTGCCTTGAACCAACAGAAAAGTGTCACCAGCACAGCAAGACATGGAGGGCAAGGAGAAGGAAGAGAAGGTCAGGACAAGCCCAAATTCCACCATCTTGTATCCACTTGAACCCCATTCTAAAAACCCCAATATTCTACTTTTTCACCCCGTGTTAGTTCAAATATCACACTACTAAAACCCTTGTGGCTTGTAATTCCTCACACAAAAATAACAGTTTTTTCCACAGGCTAAAATCAAAGCCACGGGTGTTTGTGACTTCGTGCCAGGGTCTCTGAGCCCCTGCCAGGGTCTGGAGCCAGCCAGAGGGGTGTGCTGGGCTCCGACAGCCCTCCTGCCACAATGACCCTTCAGCAGCCCTGGTGGTGTCCGTGGCTTCCCTCCGGCACCCGCGCTCTGTGCCCTGGGTCCCTCCCGGCAGGGTGCCCCTCTGCCGTGCCCCAGAGCCCCGTGCCCGGCAGGGCTGGGCTGTGCTCACCTCCAGCTCCAGGATCCTGAACTCCAGCAGCTCGTTCTGGTCCTTCACGTCCTGCACGTCGTGTTTGAGGCGCGCCTCCTCGGCCTCCATCTGCCTGATCTGCCGAGCACAGGGCGCGTCCTGAGCTCTGCGGGCACAGCCCGGGCACGGGCGCTGGGCAGGGCAGGGCTGAGCCCCAGCCACTGCTGCCCCTGCTGGGATGCCCGACGTGCCAGGAGCGAGCCCTGAACTCCAGTGACTGCAGGAGGCTCATTAATGACTTTGTTATGCTATATTATACTCTATATTACACTAACAAGAACCATCACTAACTACCTATATCACTAACTAGCTGGAAAACCTGTGACTCTCCCTGAGAGTCCGACACAGCTGGATCCAACTGGTCCATGAATCCAAACAGCATCACCAGAATCCAATCCAGCAATCACCTTGGGTAAACAATCTCCAGAGCAGATTCCACATGGCACAAACAGTGAAGGAGGTAAGAATTGGCTTTTCTCTGCTTCTCTCAGGAGAAATCCTGACAAAGCCAAGTCCCTCTCTGTCCAGAGCACGTGAATGCCACAGCTGTCCTCGGGCACCTTGCCCAGACACACGTGGGGATGCAGAACCCCACTTCTGCAGCAGCTTTCTAAGGATCTCGTGTTAAACACGAGCTACTGCCAGCAGGGCTGTGCCATACAGATCGGAACACTGCGCCTTCTGCACCCCTCAAGACACAAGTGTTATTTGAATAATGCAAATAGAGACAGTAAATACCTTTTCTACCAGCTCCTGATTCCTTCTGTACAAGGCCTGCTTCTCCTCAATCCACTTCATGTCCTTGGGGAGGAAATGAACAGCACTGCAGGTGAAGTGCAGCAGCACAGCAGCAGATTTCCCTGAATTCACACGCAGAGGCCCAGAGCAGCGAGAGCTGCGAAACTCGACCTCCATTACTTCCTAAAATAACTTCCCAAGCTCAACTTGCCCGTGTAATTTAACAGCTGTATAGTACACAAATGGAATAAAAACATTCCAGTGGCTAAAAAACTCTTTTGTGTAAAATCTGGTTTGCATTAAAAGGGATAGTTCCAACTATGTGTTTACTATCAAATTTCTATTTTGCTAAATACAAGTTACATATTTCTGCAGATCAGGCAAACTGACCTTTATTTGGAAGGTGATCTCTTAGTCTGAGGAATATATAAAACCCACAAACCCAGAACATGGTTTATCAGCAAGAACAACAATAAGAGGTTAAGCTGGGAAGGCAACAATTGAATTGTTTAATATTTTGTTGTTCTAAAAAACATTTTCTGTTTGCTGCTGTTGTGGTTTTGGTTTTTTCCAGGTTTTTTTTTTTTTTTTTTTTTTTTTTTTTTTTTTTTTTTTTTTTTTTTTTTTTTTTTTTTTTTTTTTTTTTTTTTTTTGTTTGGTTATTTTTTTTTGTCTGCAGAAGTGCTGGACAAGCTGCAGCCAGCCTGGGAACCTTTCTGGCCCCCCAGCAGAGAGGTGGGGAAGGGGCTGGAGTCAGCATTACCTGTCCCTGCTCAGCCAGAGCCTTCTCCAGGTCTTCTATCTGAGCCTGGGACCGGTGTATTTCTGCTTGGAGCTGCTCACGTGTCTGTGGGATATGAGAGAGAAATTAAAAAACCCAAAAAAATCTATAAAGAATAATTAAAAATAAATCTAAAAAAATCAAACTTTCTCCAAAAGATCAAACCTAATGCAGATACAGAAATATTTTTAAAACACCAAATGCTTTTAACAAATTATTTTGAAAGTTTTTTGGCAGAAGACATTCGCAGCTGAGCACAGAGTATCAAATAATCAAATGCAATCAAATCAAGTCTGGGAGATAGGATTACTGATTTTGAGATTTAACTCAAGATTAACAAAATGGCAAAGCAGAGCTGCCGCCTCACAGCTGGTCATGGCAGGCTACAGCCAGAGCCTCCTTCCTTTCTCCAGGAAAACAAATGAAAATTATTATGGCACAATTCTGGGCACACCTGGTTCCCTTAAATTTGGGGCACGTTAAACAGTCAGAACAGAGCCCCCATTACAAACTGGCAGATTTCATCAACTTAGAGCCTGATCTATGATTTAGTGCCATACCTATTTCACACCCATTTCTCATTTTTTACTGTATTTGTATCTTCATGCTTATTTAAATAGATACCACATTCCTACACGTTTTCTGGAGAACAAATGTAATTATTGTCAGTTGTTGTATTTGTTACATACTTCCAGAGAACGTTTTCTTTCCTTGAGTCATTTCTCTGCCATTTAACCCATTGTTTCCACTGAAAGTGATTTTGTTTGCATGATCTACACTGGAGCCTCCTTTGGCCCACTATGGAAATACTAAAATCCAGTCACTCCCACAGCTGGGCATGGCCTGGCTCACTGGGATTTCCTTCCAGCTGCAACCCCTGATGCTTCAGACTAGATGATCATTCTGGGAACATTGCTGGGAATGTCTCACTGGGATTTTCCTCACTGGGATTTCCTTCCAGCTGCCATCCCTGATGCTTCAGACTAGATGACCATTCTGGGAACACTTCGGGGAATGTCAGTTTTCATGCATCACACCTTGACCCACTCCCAGTGTTCCTACACCTTCACAGAACAGGTGTAGGAACAAATTAAGGCTCTGCAGACACATTTATCCTGTTAAACAGCAGATTTGTCCCTTTCCTGGCTGCACTCACCTTTGCAGGCTGGGCATGACCCATCCTGCCAGCCCTCCAGGGAGTCATGGAATGGTTTAGGAGGGAAGGGACCCAAATCCCACCCAGTGCCCCCCTGCCATGGCAGGGACACCTCCCACTGCCCCAGCTGCTCCAGCCCCAGTGTCCAGCCTGGCCTTGGGCACTGCCAGGGATCCAGGGGCAGCCACGGCTCTCTGGGAATTCCATCCTGTGCCAGGGCTGCCCAGCCTCATGGGGAACAGCTCCTCTGTGACTCCCTGGCACACACAGCAAGCTCCTAACAAAAGCAGCACTTCAGGCCAGCTGTCCAGAGCCATGGAGACTCTGAGGCACACAGGCACAGGGCACTTTGCAATTTAATTAACAGAAAAATCTCAGCTATAAGCCTTCTAAACATTTTATGAGGAATCATGTAATCTCTCAGAGCCCAGAAGGAATTAAAGACCACGCATTATATATTTAAGGCTATCTGTCCTAATTCTTTCTAGAAAAAGAGCTTACTTTCAAGGATTTCCCATCAAAAAGTCTCCCTGGATTTCCCCTGGGCTGATCAGAGGTGAAAAGCCCGAGCTGCAGCAGTGGTGGCTCCTCACAGCCCTTCCCAGGGCCCGGCAGCATCCAAGCGCCTGGAGCCCCGGTGAGCCCGGCCCCGGGGTCCCCAGCCTCCCTCCCTGGCACCCCACAGCCCCAGCGCATGCAGGATGAGCCACGCAGACCTTGACTTCTCGTTCTGCATCCAGGCTGCCCCCGACCTGCTCCTGCAGCAGGGCGTAGGCGCGCTGCAGCGCCTGGTACTCCATGGTCAGCTGCCGGAACCGCAGCTCCGTCTCCTCCTTGGCCATGCCCTGCGAGCACAGACAGAGAGGGAGCTGGCTGCTTTCTCTTAAAAGTGCCAAAATCACCACTTCTGAAATGCAATTTGGAAGCAAAAAAATTGTAGTTAAATGCTCTCAAGCTGCTTCCCCTCCGTCCCCTACACATCTCTTGCACGCTCTTACCTCCAGGAAATGCAATACAGAAATAAAAAGATAATCCCTGCCTTGGAAAGATAAAAGCTTACCTTCCATATAGCACACCAATGACTGCACTCCCCTTTCTTACTGGAAAAGGGAAAATCTTCGCATTAAAGGTGAAAATGCAGCTTTCTTTAACAACAAAAGGTTTCAATTTGGAAAGGAAACCAAGCCTGACAGCCTCACTCAATTATTAAAACAGCAACCCAGAGTTAATAGTTGTAGAAGTGGTGACAGCAACATGAAAGCAGCCCTTCATCTTCTTCCCCTCCTTACAATATCCAGTATGGAACGCTTTCATGTCAGGCTGACCGGAATATTTCACTCCACATGAAATGGAATGACATGACTGGGTGCATGCACCAACTTCCCACTGGCTGAACGGGGGGAAGAATGCGGAACAGGAATGAAAAACAAACAGGCTCATACATACACAAATACATTCAGATTTCCTGCAGTGCAGCCTGGTAACCATCAGGTATCTCTCATGGTGGAGTGAGGAATTGTGCAGGCTCCCTTTCAGCAGGTTGCATTACACACCAGCAGCCAGCACACCGTGAAAAGGCTGCACATCATCAGTGGCAATTCTTGTTTATTACAGGATTCGTGTTAAGCCCAGAGCTGCGTAATGGGCCAGTGATCTGACACACACTGGGGAGTGCATTTGTGGGGAAGCCCTGGCAAGCACAGGGAATAATCCCTTTAATTTGCTTTACATTTCCGCGCTCTGCTCCCAGAGCCTCCGGAGCCCAGGCAGGATCCAGCCTTCCCCTGGAGCTCTCCAGGGGAGCATTGGTTCCCTTCTCCCTCCACCAGCACAGACCTTTCTGCTCGGTGCTGGGCTGGGCTGGCCCAAACTGCACCGGCCAAGACGCGCAGCCAGGCTCGGAGTGAGCACACTCCCAGGCCTGTCCGATTTCTCAGGTTTACAGACCTGCAAACCTGCCATACATTCCATATTCTTAGCATATGAGATTTCCAGCTTGGCGGGAAGTTGTGAAGTTCCTGAAGACTGAGCTTCAGAGATACTGACCAATATGCACAGCACCAAATTTAACAGGAGTGTTTCATTTTGTGGTCTGAGGCGACAGAATGGTAGAAGAGATGAGAGAACAGCAATGACAGACAGAAATGATGGAACAGAGCAGGGATTTCATTAAAAACCAGCAGCAAGGTTGCAACCAGAGCAAGAGGGGTTTTTGGGAGTACCTCCTCCAGGTCATCCTCAGGCGTGCAGGGGGTCTGGTCAGTGCGGTCGGTTTGGTAGGAGATGGAGGAGCCATCGGACTCCAGGGAAGCCTCCTCGTCGTAGCCATAGAACGTCTCCACCACCGGCTTC